TGCTCCTGTACAACAGATTTTCTCGTTACAAAAACTCAAAGTAATAAATACAGGAGGTCAATGTAAACGGAAAATAAACGGTATCATGACATTTTACTTTTTTAAATTAACTAGGTTTTATTAAAAAATATTTTCTATATCTTCTGTTGTGTAAGTCGGTTAAATGAAAAGGTACCTTTGGTTTTGTAATACGTAACAATCATAATATACATATAATAATTTTTCAGCATATTATTATTTATATTTTAACAAAAATTATTTTTGTTGTTGGTATAATCTGTTATATTGAACCACCTAGGTATAGTGTCTGGAACAAAATTCATAAAAATTCCGTATTGTTACAGCAGCCGAGTTGTAAGTTGCACAGTTAAAAAAATTTATCCATTTGGGCAAAAACTACAAATCAATTAAAAGAAAAAGTGATAGGTAATAAGTTTTTTTTTATCTCACAATGATGAGTATAAGAAGTTATATAGAAAAAGTAAGTATTCAAAATCTTCCAGACAAAAAACAAAAATATGTTTAAATGAATATATTTTATTTATTTAATTTATTTATCATTTGATAAAAACATTTATATATCGGCCTTTGCTGACGACACCGTCATTCTCTTCTCTGACAACTCATGGGACAAAGTCAAACTCAAAGCGGAAATAAGCCTTAAAAATATAAAAAATTGGTTTAATGAAATGAGTCTTACCCTAAATCTGGAAAAAACTAAATTCTTGACATTTTCATGTAATAAAATCAATTTGCCAAATATAGAAACTCTTACTATAAACGAAAATAATAATCTGTGTTCAATAACTAAAGCCGAATCAGTAACTTACCTTGGACTTGAGATTGATCATCACTTAAAATGGGATATGCATATTAACAAATTAACAAAAAAATTAAGATCAATCCTATTTACCTATAAGCAACTAAAAAATATCCTTGGCTTTAAAGAACTTAAAATAATGTACCATGCGCTTGTAGAATCGCATATTCAATATGGCATTGCCGGATGGGGCGGATTATACAGTACGCATTCTAAAAATCTAGAAGTTCTACAAAAATATTTCTTAAAAATCTTATATAATAGAACACGTATCTATTCTACAGAACAACTTTTAGTGAAACAAATATTTTTGACCTAAAAAACTCTATTATTATAGAATCCTATCGCTGCAACAAAAAAATTAAAATAAGTTAATTTCTATTGATCATACGCATAATACTAGACACAAACAAAACGCAGAAATTAAAACGGAAAAGGCAAATAAGTCAATCGGTCAACGCTCTAATTATTACATTACTTGCAAATTTATCTATTATCGATTTACAAATATGTTTAGGTTTTTTGCATTAGTCTCCACATTTCCACACTCATTCTTTTTTTATTTATTTTATCTGCTCTTATAATTGGTCTAATTTATACTCTATATATTCAAAGCTACTAAGTCTAATAAAAAAGACCAGGCTAGACGACATACTCTAAAACAAACGGAGTCCCACAATAGATCTGAAAAGGTCGCGGTGGACAAGGATAAATAACGTCCAACTCCTAATCTAATCTAATCTAATCTACTCTATATATTATTTTTTATATTTTATGCTACTAACTAAAAAAAAAAAAAATATTTCAAATATATTTTTATTGTTTGTTATTTTATGATATTTTTTTTATCATTATTTTTTATTATTATTGTTATTATTATTATGTTCAATTATAATTCTATTATTCTTATTATTCATGTTATGATTGTTATTATTATTATTATTATTATGTTCAATTTAATTCTATTATTTTTATTATCAATGTTATTATTGGTGTTGTTATTATTATTATCTTGAATTATAATTATATTACTATTATTATTACTATTACTATCACTTTTATCTTACATAATATTTACATTAATGTGCCGATGATTAATTGATGTCCCATAACAAGTTCGTCTTCATGGGACTGCCCTCAATTTATTTTCCACAATAGTTATATTTATTTGTATTATGAAAATAATGTTTATGTCAACAAACTTATGTTCGGTATTTGTAACAATTTGTAAAGATAACTGTTGTATAATGAAAATATTAATATTTGAAGGTTTTAAATAAGGGATTGAATATATCACAGTTTGAAATTCCTTTTATTGACCATAATTTTTTTTTGGAATGAAAACATTAGTTCCTGTTTTTCCGTTAAGCTCCATAAATCAATTCATATTTTAATTTTACGGCAGTAAAGTTGCAACAACTAAACAATATAGTGAACTTTTCGTAAGAACTTTTCGTAAATTCAAAAGTTAAAATAAAATTCAATTTAAAATTAAATAAGTTAGTTAGATAAATTTTTGACCGTATGAAGTTATTAAAGTCAGGGGCGGCTCGTGACCAAAATTTTGGGGGTTCACAGTAGCAGAATATAGATCCCGGTACAGAAATAGATAAAAAACTGTCAGTTTTTAGAAAGGTATATTATAAACTTTTTAAAACACTGAAAGTTTTTTCATACATCTGCACTGATACGTATATTCTGTCACTGTGAACCCCCAAAATTTTGGCAACGAGCCGCCACTGATTAAAGTTACAAAAAATTCATATGTGAATTTTCAATTTCTATTGATGTGTTAGTTACTCATCTGCGTTTTACAATATCAATACATGGGCTCGGCTTTGGCACAAAACCCTGTATAGCAAAACTTCTAATCCGAATCAGAATCTTGATATTATTATTTGATAACTTAAAAGCGTGGTTCACTAGTTGGTGTAGCCTTTCAAAATATTTGGTATAATAATTATTGTGACGATAGTCTAATTTATTTATAGTTTATTTATTTAAAACATACTATTTACAATTTATTTATGACGTACTATTTAATTTATATAATACTTGGACACTAACTAACAATTCTAATTTATTTATTACACTTTAGCTGTTTATTACAATGCTCTATATTAAACTAAACTGTACGCCGATGAGTAGGGCTATTTATACCAAGTCCAACTCTGCTACGAAAAGTCTCTAAAAGCTCCCGAAAATTCCATCTCTGATTCAACGGCACAACGGCACGCATCGCCCGTTCTTGTATATTCGAGACGCGGTGCGACTATCTTCACACGTCAGCGTTGCTTCGATCATGAATCGAGTGGCAGATTTCCAAGGTCGCGCTTACACAGGGTTGGCTCTGCATCACATTATATATCATCAATTGCCACTGCCACTGGTAAAATTTAATATTTAAAAAAGCATATAATAATAAGACATTAATCATATCTTAAATGGATCGCTTACAACCATATTTTAGAAATAAATAAAATGTAACTCTTAAATTAATAAACATTCAAAATAATTTAAGATTCCTTGCGTTATTTTAATAAAAACTAAACCAAATTTCTCACCATTTATTTGGTATTCTGTCCCGTATTTCCATGTCTCTATTAGCTCTGCTGTCAACAAGTTCTGGTATATCAAAATTTTGAATTGTATTTTCCAAAAGCCGTCATTATAAGGAATCATTTCCACTTATATTTCTCGAGGAGTCTAAATGCACAAAATGAAAAAATCCATTTGTGTTATGTGCAGCTAGCTCTGAATTTGAAAATGCCAATTATGGTTTCCCTTAATGGTAATGTCCTTTTTTCAAAAAGTTATTTTTCTACTGCATATTTCTTCTTCTACAGTCAGTACTCTAGCTCCATGTGGACATTTTAACTCTATCATAGTTGTTTCTTGTTTCGAACTCCTTCTGGACTGGCAGCAACATCAAATTCGGAATCAATAAAAAGTCCACATTTAATAAAAAGTTTTTCTTGCAAATGAATTTTCAAATCTTATTTTGCTCTGAATTTATTGTCCATGCCATATAGCAAAAAATAAAAGATTTTATAAAATTTTTTAAAGAAGACTTTTCCTTTTTTTACAAATTTTTCCAAATTTTGAAGCAGTGACTCGTTTTCATCTTTCATTGTGCCACAATACACAATCAGCTTGATCTCGTGTCACAATCGTTTTTTCTTAGCTATAGACATTGGCAAACTTTTCAAAAAGTGACTCCAGAGAGGTCCTTTACCTGCACTTTCAGTAAAAATAAAAAATAATCCGTAAAATTTGTGTACCATAATACAATCTTAGTATTACAGAAATGATTTACTTAAAAAAATAGGGTGTACAAATGCGTAAAATTTATTTTCCCCTCGTAAAACATCAGTAAAATATATTATAAATTGTTTTCATTCACAAATATTAATTTCTTTAAAATCTAACACAGGCGCCACTTTCCAGACGAAAAATCTTGCAATGTAAGGGTTTCGTAGTACCCCACTTTTAAAATTTATTTTTGACTATTTTCAAAAGAAAAAAATATGTAAGTGTAGGTAAAGGTTATATCTATGCTCCTTTGGAACCAGTTTAATTTAGTTTTTTTCCAAAATAAATTGAGAAAACGGGTAAAAAAGTCGAGTTTTGTATTTTTTTTTTTAGAAAAAATAATCAAATTTTAAAAAAGTGTCTCCAAAGGAGCACATATTTAACCTTTACCTATACGCACATATTTTTTTTTTTAATAGTGGGGGTACTACGAAATTCTTGCATGCTCTGCTCTAAAGCCACTCCTTTTAAGAAAAATATTTGTTTTTCATTCCCTTTAAATTTAACTATTAGCTCATACTGTAAAATATGCAATAACTACCAATATTTTACTCAGTTTGAATTTACAGTTTTAGTTTAAATAGTTATATAGGTTTTTATTTAAATAGTTTTCCAAGAGTTAATTTTTTTATAGTTTTAAAACAAAATTACTAAACTAAAATATACAGCCGAAAATTATAATAACTGAAATAGCCTTTGTTGATTAGGTATTATTAATTATTCTATTTTTGAATTATTTACCGGGAAGCTAAAAATTATCTAAATCGATATTAATATTAAAATTAAAATAATAATAAACGTGTTTTCAATAAATATAATCTGTACTATTTCCATGCACTATGACGTATACAGAGATTATTTCAAAGATGTTGTCAAGGGAGATATTTTCGAAAAGTAAGTAAACAGTCTATGAAAATTTAGTATAAAAGCCCAGAAAAGACACACAGAAGGCACATTCACTGACAGTGCACAACCATGAAGGTACTAGTTATTCTTTCTCTCGTAGCTCTCTGCTACTCAACTCCCATCGCCGTACACAAGCGTGTGACAGTTGAAGAAGATGGCACTATTACCATCAAGGGCACTCACGGCAGTGAACTCGACATTTACAAATCCGTAATTGACCCAACCAAACTTAACATCATCATCAAGAGCCGACTTGGAGTCGCCAGAAAAATCCAAATAGATAATACCGCCGACATCAAGAACGTTAACTTCAACTCCCTGGATGCCAGATTCTTCAAGAACTTCCCAAGCGACAAAATCACCCAAGCTAATATCCTTGTTCACATTTTCCGTGAATACGAAGGTCTTGTAGATGAACCCACCTACAAAATCTTGTTGGACAGGATTAAAACTTTGGTGAAGGAAGGATTCCTACACGAAGCTATCTTGGAAGCATTGAAGACTTTGGATCAATTACGTATGGTTGAAGACTTGAAACAAGATGAAGCACAAGATCTTATGGACGACGTTGTAAGAGAAAAGTTAGCTAAAGATGCCGCATACCCAGTAGAGGAATTTAGCCAATGGCACAGAGCTAGGTAAGCACTAACTTCAATTATTTATTAGTTTTTATCTAATAAATTATGGTTTGTCAATCTTCTTTTTGATAAATTTTAGTTAAATATTTAAAATTAAATCAATTTTTGTTACATACAACTATTTTTGGCATTGTTTTAATTTCAGTAGAGTCACACCAGATGAAGGTCTATTTGGATGGAACCAATACAGAAACGTCTTACCCGTTCAAGGATATCACGGTATCCAAGGATTATGGTAAGCACATAAATATGCTTATTTTTTTGTCACAAAACACAACATTAATCTGTTTTGTTACTACATCTTGAAAATTTCGTCAATTATCGTATTTAGTGTCAGTTTTTTCATCTCTGAGTAAAGTTGAAAGTAACTACTTGCTGAATAAACTATAGGGCTATTGTTTGTTAATCTGTCAAGTAAACATACATGTAACTTAACTCAGAGGTGAAAAGATCGGTGCTTATAATTTAATAATTATTGCAGATAAGTGATCAACACACTAAAATTTCTCAACTTTTTTATAGGGATACCCAAAACTGGACCCCTCTCAAACGTCAAATGCTTCTCCAACACATGAGACAAATGCAATACGGAGAAGATTTAGGAGAATTATCGCCAATTGAAATGTTGAAAGAACAAGAACTGGAACGTGAATTGGCTCATCAACAAATCATGCAACAAATCTACCAACACCAACTTAGACAAACTGAAATGAGCCCCCTTAACCGTTATTTGTATAAATTGGGAGTTTTGAGAGGACAGAGATTCTTTAACCCACAACAATTAAGAGTTCCCAAATTCCATTGGGGTCAATCGGAAAATCGTTACCAAAATGAAGAATTTCCCCAAGAATTTGAAAGTTTAGTTGAACAAGGTCGTTTTTTACCACAAGAAATTGATCGTTTTCAACAAGATCGTTTCAACCCCCAAGATACTGATTTCCAACAACAACAACAACAATACGGTTACAGAAGATTTCCCATGTCCTACTAAAAAGTTTAAAATGTTATAATTTTGACACATTTATTTGTTGAATAAAGTCTGTTTTCTCAAAAACGCTTGCTTTTTAATATAGTTAGAAATATTTTCGTTAACTTAGATATTGGCATACAAATAATCAGCTATGTATTAAAATAAAGAATGATCCGCAAAAACTGTTCCAAATTAGGCCTTGAAAAAATTCACGTATGTCGGATCGTACAATTTTTCTTCTTTATTAAATGACAATTAGGATTTAATCCAGAGGTGTTCGTAGTTATCACGAACGCATGACTCGTATCTCGGTTTTTGTGGTCATGGCCTACATTAAAAAAAATTGTAGATCACTCTTTATAAATGACAAACTATATGAAGTTGAAATATTAGTTAGTAAGCAGGAAAAACAAAATAAAAATTGGTACTACAAAATTTGTTGGCGTAAAGATTTAATTATTTTAATAGAATATTGTAAATAGTTTCGTCCTTTGCTGGTCATTATCAGCTCTAATTGCAAAAATCTTAGACAATACAATTATGAAATTTTCTATGAGTAGGGTAAGGTAAGGTATGTTGGTGATAATTTTACTTTTACGTGAATAACTTTGTAGTTAAAAAAATTAAACGTGTTTTTTTTACGCAATCAAGTTTTATATATTGCTCAATACCTGATTAACAAAAACTAATTTTTAATTTAAAAATTCATTACAAAAATTCTACTTTAAGAATTTAATCCTATCATAGGTAAATTGCTTACAGGTAAGGTAATTTGGTGAAAGGGGCTTTTTAATTTGGTGATAGGCAAAAATATCCTAATTATAGGCATAAAAATCAAACAGCACTAAAAATATCGTTAACGTTGCATTAGTCCGAATCTGATGATTATCCAGCGCAACCATCACACATGAAGGTGTCCTCTTCGTCAGGGTTCGTCTGACATTTGACATGGTAAGGCACACAACAAAAAGAACATTGAACGCATGAGGCGCCATTTTTTTTCTTAGCATCATCCTGGTATGATCCACCACAAAAACCACAGTCCCAATCATCATCGTCTGTTTTGGATTTCTTCTTTCGCTGATTTATTCGTTTTTCTTTAAGTGGAGTAATTTTAGCTTGAATTGACGACACTGCTCCAGAACAACCTGGTTGCGGATCGATGGAAGGTGATTTTGGATCAGGGAGTGTTAGACATTTTGCAGAGGAGTCTCTATTTTTTCTTTTTCTCTCTTTATTTTGTGAAATTGCTGAAGCTGAGGGCAGTACCAACACATTTTTAACTGTTTTATCTTCTAAAGGGCGGTTTTGATTATTGTTTTCTGCATTTACGTTTTCTACTTCGTTATCTTGTAGGACAGTATCAGTCAATTTTGAAGGAGCTATAGCTTCCGGTGAAATTGCATTCTTATTTAGAGGGTATGTTCCACTTTTGCGAAAAGCATGTTCTATATTGGTAGGCGAGAAACTTTTAACCATGGCGGCTGTAAAAATTTCATTAAAATTATATAGGCTAGGTTTTTCGCCATTCTTTTCCCGCATGTAATCATTTACACATTCATTCCAAGCAGATTTTAGTGGCCGATAAACTCCAACGTGGAGTGGTTGTAGGAGGTGACTCGTATGAGCAGGAAATGTGAAAAGGTAAATTTCGTTTTCTTTTGCTAACTGTATGACAGCTGGAGAAACGTGAGACTCATGGGAATCCATCAAAAGTATGATAGGTCGTTTTCTTTTGGTATTGACTTTATGAAGAATTGCAACCATTCCAGAAAAATTTCTGAATTAATCCAACCCTTTGGAAATAATTTGACAATTGAATTTGGTAAACAACCTCTTGCTTGTTCAGGATTCCAACGAATGCCTTTAAATATTATTAATGGTGGAATAAATGTGCCGTTTGCACATACACAGCCGAGAACTGTTGTTGTCTCCCCCCGGTCTGCATAACTTTTCTTGTATACATAACGCTTCCCTAATGCGGTCACTACTTTATTTGGTTTTACCACAAATGACATACCAGTGTCATCACAATTCCACAGTCTTGAAGGGTTGTATTTAATGCCTAATTGCACCATTAACGTTTCTAATTTTACATAAAAATCAGAAATAATTGTAGGATTAGCCATTGATGCTCTATAGGCAGCTACATTTTCTGGAATGCGCAAAGTAAGGCCAAACCTTTTTTATAATATGCCCACCACCACTTGCTTGCAGTTGCTTTTTCTTCGTTCATAAAAAAATTCTCCCAACCAATAGCTTTTGCTAGAGAAAAAGCTGGTTTCCGAATTTGAACCACAGTAAGTCCAAACCCCAATTCTTGCATAGCTATTATGTAATTGAATATTTGCACTTCAAGGTCAGCCGTCAAAGCAAAAGGTCTCCCTCCCTAATTTTGGCAAATCCTCTTGACCCTCGGTTTTGGCTAAATAGCGCTTTAAAGATGACCAGGGTATTTTCGTTTCCTTGGCGGCCTTATATATAGACATACCTTGTTGCCGAACCAATTGACTTGCCACTACCATGTCATCCCTGTCATAATCTCTGTATGTGCGCTTCTGCATGGCATGGGCGGTATAGGTAAGTTGGTGATACTCTGAAACGTAAAACCAATATTTTTTTCAAAATAACGTGTTATATACCATCATTCTTAAAAATAGAACCCAATAAAATATTTTTCCAAATTAACAAAAACATTTTTGCAAAATGTTGAGTTGACCACCTTAAAAAACCGCATGGAAAACGGCTAAGAAAATGCCGGCACTACCTAAGTCACTAAAGCAATAAAAAGTCTCGAAACCTTGCTCTGTTTGCGGTATTTAATGAATTAACATGTTCCCTTTTAATCAAATTACAAATGAATACTTACCTTAATTTATGTTAGGTAATAACCACCACACTAATTATTTATGCAAAAACAGCCGGCAGAATCTTCAGAATCGCGCGCCACCAGCCGAAATGTTTTCTGGAATGTAATCAAACTGATTGCAGCCAACGTTGCCTGATTGTGCACTTAATATACACATTAATAAACCTTCCCTGTGAAATAGAAGTTCCCCGCGCAATAGGTAACATGTTGACAAATGAAATTAAAATTATCACCAACTTACCTATATCACCAATATACCTTACCTTACCCTATACTAAGGAAATTACATATAATTTAAAGGAACTCTCCAATAGTGGCAAAATTATGGGGATTTTTGGTGGTGTCGGTGTCACAGATCGGATAGCGAGAAAAAATTATGTAAAAAAATACATTAATGTAAAGAGAAATATCAATTTTCATTTTTAATATTTTTTTAATTAATTTATTTTTATAGAAAATTCAATAAAAGTTTATACGGTCCCCTAGAAAAGTGCGTCACTATAGGAAAATTAAAATAAAATTCTGCTACATAAGTTTACATGATATTTCAGTATTTTGTAGCAGGAATATAATAACCATCGATGGAACTTTTAAAATTTATGCAAAATCTTTAAACAAACATAGTCATCAATCTCAGTAAAATTACAATTCATAATTGCAAAAATGTCATCAACATCACACTGGTACAGATATGTATACTCAGTTTGAATTTCCATTTTTTGTTTAAATAGTTTTTCAAGAGTTAATTTTTTTATAGCTCTAAAACAAAATCACCAAATCAAAATAGTTATGCAACCGAAAATTATAATAACTGAAATAGCTTTTGTTGATTAGGTATTATTAATTATTCTATTTTTGAATTATTTACCGGGAAGCTAAAAATTATCTAAATCGATATTGTTATTAAAATTGAAATAACAATAAACGTGTTTTCAATAAATACAATCTCTACTATTTCCATGCACTATGACGTAGTCAGAGATTATTTTAAAGATGTTGTCAAGGGAGATAGTTTCGAAAAGTAAGTAAACAATCTATGAAAATTTAGTATAAAAACCCAGGAAAGACACACAGAAGGCACATTCACTGACAGTGCACAACCATGAAGGTACTAGTTATTCTTTCTCTCGTAGCTCTCTGCTACTCAACTCCCATCGCCGTCCACAAACGTGTAACAATTGAAGAAGATGGCACTATTACCATCAAGGGCACCCATGGCAGTGAACTCGACATTTACAAATCCGTAATTGACCCAACCAAACTTAACATCATCATCAAGAGCCAACTTGGAGTCGCCAGAAAAATCCAAATAGATAATAAAGCCGACATCAAGGACGTTAACTTCAACTCCCTGGATGCCAGATTCTTCAAGAACATTCCAAGAGACAAAATCACCCAAGATAATATCCTTGTTCACATTTTCCGTGAATACGAAGGTCTTGTAGATGAACCCACCTACAAAATCTTGTTGGACAGGATTGAAACTTTGGTGAAGGAAGGATTCTTGCACGAAGCCATCTTGGAAGCATTGAAGACTTTGGATCAATTACGTATGGTTAAAGACTTGAAAGAAGATGAAGCACAAGATCTTATGGACGACATTGTAAAAGAAAAATTAGCTAAAGATGCCGAATACCCAGTAGAGAAATTCAGCCAATGGCACAGAGCTAGGTAAGTACCAATTTCAATTATTAATAATTAGTTTTTATAGTAAAGTTATCTAATAAATTATGCTTTGTCAATTTTCTTTTTGATAAATTTTAGTTAAATATTTAAAATTAAATACATTTTTATTACATACAATTATTTTTAGCATTGTTTTAATTTCAGTAGTGTCACACCAGCTGAAGGTCTATTTGGAAGAAACCAGTACAGAAACGACTTACCCGTTCAAGGATATCACGGTGTCCAAGGATTATGGTAAGCATATAAATATGCTTATTTTTTTTTGTCACAAAACACAACATTCATCTGTTTTGTTACTACAACTTAAAAATTTCGTCCATTATCGCATTTAGGATCAGTTTTTTTCATTTCTGAGTAAAGTTGAAAGTAACTACTTACTGAATAAACTATGGGGCTATTGTTTGCTAGTCTGTCAATTAAACCTACATGTAACTTTACTCAGAGGTAAAAAGATCGGTGCTAATAA